CACATCTCCCTTCCCTGCCTCCTCCACCTCCTGCCCAAGCTCTGCACTCTGGGTCTCTCCCGATCCTTCATCCCCTTTCTCATGCACCTTCTCTTCCTCCTCCTTTACTCCTTTTCCGTCTTCACTTTCCTTTCCCCCCCTGTCTCTCTCCTCCAGTCCCTCTCCCACTCCTTTCTCTCCTTCCTCATCTGTCTTCTCCAGCTTTTCCTCCTCTTCAAACATTTTCCCTTTCTTTATTTTCTTCTTCCCCATCTTCTCCACCCCCTCTATTCTCACCTTCTTGCGCTTCTCTGCTTTCCCCTTCTCCTGCTTTTGCCTCCCACCACCCCATCCCTGGGTGCTGCTGCTCCCTCGCTTGGCTCTGCCCCGTACCCCTGCCCAATTCCTGCCCCCATTAGCACCTTCCTCCCGCTCCTCGATGCCCTCCATCACATCCCTGGGACTTTCCTCAAATTCATCCTTCTTGCTCCCTCCTTTTCTCAGCAATCCCTTTTTCTGCTGCTTCCTTTGTTCTTGCTTCTTCTCTCTTTTCCTTTTTGAGTCTTGGGCATCCCCTTGCTGCTGTGGGACAGGGGGGTCCAGATCCTTCTCTTCACCCTCCCTCACAGTGGTGACACCCACGTCCATCTCCAAAGCCCCAGGCTCTCCAGACAGGGAGGCAGCCCCACCAGCAACATGATCGCTTGGCTTTGGGACCTTTGGGAAGAAGCCAGAAGGGAAGAAAGGTTGAAGCTGGGAAAGGCAATTGACTATCCCAAAGCCCAGGTGCATGACAGGGGTGCAGAAGTGCCCTCCCCCGTGCAGGACTGGGTCTGGGGGATGACAGTTCCTCCTGGGTTTCCTACCCCAACTCCAGCCTTGGTTCCCAAGTGCTGCCATCCTGCTGTGGGTCCTGCTCTCCGGGGTTTGCGCTGTGACCTACAAGAAGAGCAAAGCCACTTCTCACCACATTGTTGAGCAGCAGCCTCCACCTCTTACATGCGGAGTTAGGGGACTGCTCCCAAGAAGCACTTGTTTCCCTTCAGGAATGGTGAACCTCATGAGGTTCAACAAGGTCAAGTGCAGGGTCCTGCACCCAGGTTGGGGCAACCCCCGATATCAGCACAAGCTGGGAATGAAGGGATGGAGAGCAGCCCTGCCGAGAAGGACTTGGGCAGTCCTGGGGGATGAAAAGCTGGACAGGAGCCAGCCATGCTGGCCCGGGCTGCCCCCAAAGCCGCGTGGCCGGCGGGGCGAGGGAGGGGGTTCTGCCCCTCTGCCCCGCTCTAGGGAGACCCCCCTGCAGGGCTGCGTCCAGCTCTGGAGCCCTCGGCACAGGAGAGACACGGACCTGCTGGAGCGGGGCCAGAGGAGGCCCCAGCAACGCTCCGAGGGCTGGAACAGCTCTGCTGGGAGGACAGGCTGGGAGAGCTGGGGGGGCTCAGCCTGGAGCAGAGAATGGTCCAGAGAGACCTTCCTGCAGCTGCCAGGGCTGAAAGGGGCTGATAAAGATGGGGACAGACTTTTCAGCAGGGCTTGTAGCGATAGGACAAGGGGTGATGGTTTTAAACTAGGAGTGATTTAGACTAGACATAAGGAAGAAATGTTTCACCATGAGGGTGGTGAACCCCTGGCCCAGGTTGCCCAGAGAGGTGGTAGATGCCCCATCCCTGGAAACATTCCAGGTCAGGTTGGATGGGGTTCTGAGCAACCTGCTCTGGTTGAAGATGTCCCTGCTAATGGCAGGGGGGGTGGACTAGATGGCCTTGAAAGGCCCCTTCCAGCCCAAGCTATTCCATGATTCTATGGTGGCACCCAAAGCAGCAATGACCAGCTCCTACAGGAACAAGATGGCCCCAGGTTGCAGCTTACAGGTTGAGGAAGCTCAAATGAGCAGGAACACAAGGTCTCCAGACCAAATGAGGGAGGCAGCAAGGAAGTGTCCCCAGAGACACTGCTGCCCAGAGAAGAGTACAGGTTTGGCAAGATTCGGCAGCACCAACAGAAAGCAGCACAGAGATGGCATCACACCGAGCATCATGGACACACTGAAGGAGATCTTGTGATGGCACGCACCTCCTGGGACTGTGGGGACAGGCTCCCCCACCACTCTCCCGAGGAGGCAGCCTGAGCATTGGCATGATGGGGAAGGACACAGTCTCATCATCACAAGCTACAGGACCAGGAATGTCCAGATCCATGACCTCCACCCTCAGGAACATGGGTGGGGAACACAGGAATGTTTCTTTGGTCAGCAAAGAGGTCAGGGAGCTCTGTGGGACATGTAAACATTAGAAAGCACCAACCTGCTCCTATAAAATACTTTCTCCCAAAGCTTCTCCAAGCCAGGCAAGGAGTTGGGAACCTCATCTCCAAGTTGCTCGTGTTTCAGAAGAGCAAAGCAAGAGATGAACAAGGGAGTAGCATGCACAGTCTAAACCTAGCCTACATCTTGTAGGTTGAGCCTACATCTCCACAGGGTTGAAGTGATGGTGTCCCCTTGCCCACAGGAAAACTTGGGGCTGTCTCCACTTGCTCATTGTCACCTCCCAACTGAGCAAGAGTCCCACGAGGCTGCAGAGCATCACATTCCCAGCTTGTGATCAGCACCACCACAAAGAAAAAACCCACCAACGTATCCAGACCAGCAGGTGAAAAGCACTCAGAGCCACATTCCTCCAGCCTATGCCAGGCAACCTTGCAGCTGAGCTCAGGCCCTCGCACCAGCCCATGGGTCAGGTTCATTGCCTGCCTTGCACCTCTCCTTGCACCCCTCAGCAGGGCCAGTACAAAAGCATAGCCAGTTGCCCTGATGCCACCCAAGAAGGAGCAGAAAAGCTCCAAGAAGGAGCAGAGAAGCCATATTTCTCCTCCCAAGGAGGATGGTGATGGCTCTCCTGCATGTCCAGGTGAGCACAAAGAAAGCAGAGCCACAATTTCTGCTTTTAGCCAAAACACCTCACAGACAACATTTCTGCAACAGAAAGGGAGATTTTTTGGCCCGTTTCTAAGAGATCGTTTAGGCTAAATTACCAGGCTGTGGGACATCAGAGCAATGCAGGGCTCAGGAAAGCCTTCAAGCCAGCTTGGGATGGAGGCAGTAAGTTCCCAAAAAAAACAGGGGCCGGATGCTTTTTCCGCACAGCTGGAGTACACATTACGCAATCTCCACTACAGTCATTAGGGCAAACGGCCCGGCAAAACACGCTCAGCCCCTCCAATCTCATTAGCAGCCAAGCACCAGTAGATTCTCATGACTCAGAAGGCAAAGTCCTACCACCTTTTGGGATCGGCTCCTTCCCCAGAAGGTCTTATTAGAGGCCTCTCACCGGACATGAAAGCCCCTGCCTCTAAGACGCAGAGAGGATTAGCCTGTTAAGGGCCAGCTTTGTGAATTTAACTTCCTATCTCTGCCCAGATCTAGCACAAGACAAGGAAAAGAAACACCCTTTTCCCAGGCTTTGCAAGGCTGGTTGTCCCCACTAGCATTTCCCCACCGCCTACCTCTGTATTTATGTAGGTATGTGCATCTGAGCGATCATGCCCTGCTGACTCCAGCATCCTTGGGGAGGTTGGATGGGGCCAGGAGCCTCCTTCACCACCCTCAAATCCCAGGATTCCACTTGCAATGGTTTTTGCAAGCTTTAAGGTCACTGAAGGCACCAGGACATAGCCAAAGTGTCCCATGAAGGCACCAGTAATGAGGTGGTCTCAGTGATACAGGAGGGAAAAATCAGGGCAAGAAGAGAAAGGACAATTTCTAGTTCTCTGAGCAAAAAGCATAAAGAAAAATGGCTCGACTTACCTTGAGGAGTTCTCCAGCCCCACTGATGGCCCTTGGTGGAGGGTTGATTTCATCTTCTGAAAGATATTCAGAAGTGTTGATCCGGGAAGGGTTAGAAGGACAGAGCTGGCAGGAGTACGCCAACAGCAGCATCACCCCCAAATACTCACCCAGGCCCTGCAATGGCAGCCACCCAAGCCACAGTGCCCACGTGCCACTGGCATCACCCTCCCCTTCCGCAGCCACCTTGGTTAGGAAGCAGGAGCCCAAAAGAGCAGGCCTCAATTAGCCAGGCTTTTCCAAGCATGAGGGGAGCTTTGAGGCTTTATGGGGTTAGGAAATCCCCATCTTGCTTCCAGCAATAATGAACAGGTATTTTATGGAGCAAATACATGAAAACTATCACCCATCCTCAACCACCTCCTCACTAGATGCATTGCTGCTCTCAGGGACACCAGCCCAGAACAGCAGAAGGGATGAGAAGGCTCCAAAACAAAGATGCATCAAACAACAGCTTGCGTTCATCCACACCAGCTCCGTCTGTAGAAGATTAAGTGACCCTTGTAGCAGATGGCAAGAGGGAGAGAGAGGTGGGGGACAAAGCCACAGGGTGAGAAATACAAGAGTGAAGGGAGGGCAAGGAGAAAGAAAAAGCAAAGCATAGGGAAAATGGGAACAGGACCTAGAAGAAAATGAGCTCAGAGGGGACTCAAACAGAGCCCTAAGAGCTGACCTGTGATGGCCACCAGAAATCTTATCACACTGTCTGCATGTTTGTTTTCAAAGCTGAAGCCAGGTTCTTCTGCTCCTGGCCATGCCAGGCTACGTCTAACCTCACAGCGCCCTGAAACCTATCCCAGCTTCACCCGAAGCTTGCCAAGCATCGAGGCTCTTGTTATAAATTCTGACTTCATTGAGTTTCTCTTTCGAAGGCTTTCAAGGGAGGCCAAAACCACACAGGGATTTTTCTTGAAAGCTGCTGCTGAGAAGCTGCTGGGTTAAGTCATTAATGAAAAAAAAAACAACAAAACCAACTGAGTTAATTATAGGTTGGCCATGGCAATATACACTTTCGTTCCCTGGGAATATGCCTGCTCTCAAATTCACAATCCTTCAGCCGCTGTCAGAAATCAGGATGGTAAATTCAGGATTAGGC